AGCCAATGAAGTTTGATGTTCCTAGGAGCCAATGTGGTTTGACCTTTAATACTTTAATAGGGACCAGTGAGATTTGAGCTTCTTTAAGAACCAATGACAACTGAGCTTTTGTTGGAGCCAAAGAAGTTTGAGCTTCCATAGGACCCAGTGAGATTTGACTTTCCATAAGAGCCAATGAGACTTGAGCTTATGTAGAAGCCAATGACGTTTGAGCTACCACAGCAGCCAGTGAGGTTTGAATTTCCATAGGAACCAATGAGGTTTGTTTCCCATAGGAAGCAGTGTGGTTTGAGCTTCCATATAGGAGCCAATGCGGTTTGAGCTTACATGGGAGCTGTAAGACTATGCTGAATGCTTCACTGTATAAAAGTTATTAGTTGGCTTTAAACATGAGTGAATAAACCTGTTGCTTTAATATAATGATATATGGAAATAATTATAAAAGTTAAGTCAAACTTTGACTTTTTTTCTTGAGGTTTGAGCTTTCATTATGGCCAATGGGGTTTGAGCATTCAGAAGAGCCAGAGTTGTTAGCTTCTGCAACAACCATTGTTTTGGCTATCCACAAAAGCAAGAGTGAGGTTTTAATTTTGATTCCCTTCCTTCTAAACAAGGAATTTACCAATTTTTTAATTTATTTTTGTTCCAGGTTGCTTAAGAAGGGTGTTTGGTAAAAGACATTGTCCCTCTGGTAAAACATTTCTCTTAATTATTTGACAAAGTGTCTTGTTTTGTAAAAAAAAAAAATAATAATAATAAAATAAATAAGTAGTTTTTTTTTTCAAGCTAGACATCAATTCACCACATTTCCTGATGTGCATTATGGAGAAAAATGGTTCAGAAATAGCCATATGACGGCATCCGAATTTCCTAATGTGATATATCTTGCTGAAGATTTCATCACAATGTGGTATAGAGAGTAACTCTGGTGTTTGCTAGTGCATTGTTTTCAGATAAACAAGTATCTTTACTTAGCATGATTCTTAAATATCCACAAGCATAGTATGCTATTTTAATGATTTAGTAGAGGCAAAAACTCACATACAGCACCTTTTAAGTTTTCAAGCAGTAGCACTAATTACAATCTGAATCTTCTTAAAAGGCCAATACCCACAATAATTATCACGCATAATCAATATCATGATATACTGTATTACTGAATATCTGCAAATGTATTTAGAACTGACATTCATTACAATGAGATTTAAACTGTACCTCCTGCCATTGATTTATAAATGATCCAAACACACATATACCTGGATCGTTTTAATGTTTTTTTAATACATTACAAGATACAAAAACTTGATTGATGCCACTAATAACAACTCTAGTGGATTTACTGTAGTTCTAGCAAGTGAATCCCATACAGCTGATGATACAAACTCTGAATTATTGAGCCGGTTTATCGAACCAAACGTCCAGATTCAACCTTTATCACATTAAAACAGGAAAGCAAGGAGTGTGTAATCTTGCCGAATCGATAGATGATCCATGTGGGCTCCGCTCTGTACAGTATTCACAGAAGCCTGACGTACGAATAGAAATATCCAGTTCTGGATGATTGATCTGGGTGTGGAGCTGAGCTCAGATATCGGCCTGCTCCTATATTTACAGCCTGTGCTGTTATGTGAGCGATGACATGACTCTGTTCAGATACTTTATGGTGGGATAGACCATTCATGGAATGTTGCTTCTTGGTTTTATATAAATGAATGCCAAAAAAACATCAATTAAAATCATGAAAAA